GCATGAGAGCTCTAATGCGCATAAGCGGGTGCTGAATCTGCCACGAGCCCTGGTGGCCCGAGGTCAGGATGGTGACGATCGCCGCAACGTCCAGCTCAATCCAAATATGGCTAGAGAGGTGGGAAGCAATCTGAAGGCCAATCTGTAGTGCCTGAATCTCTGCGTCTTAGCTCGAGGAGGCCTGAAGAGACGTGTGGAAGGCGGTGATAAGGGCGCTGCTGTGGTACCGGATCAGACCTCCTCCTCCGGCAACTCCGGTCTGACGATCGAAAGAGCCATCAGTTTTCAGCTTAACCCAAGGAGAATCGGGTCGAATCCAAACAACAGCTCTGGGCTGAGGGGGCCGAACAGGTGCAGTGGGGGCCACCATGTAGCGGTGTGGTGGCGAGCAACTTGTCCAGTCTCGGGCAGTGAGCCTATCTAAGGATGTAAGGAGGGAAAGATGTCTCTCTACCTGCAAAACAATGTGAGAAAACAAAAAAGTAGTATCCCTATGCTTCGCACTATTCATTTCCGTCCAGGTGAACCAAAGGATCAGACAAGGAATGAGGAAGCCCACGTGTCTAAAGTGTGTGCTCTGAGAGAAAAAACTCAGGAGCTCAAAGAAACTATCTGTGGAGGGTAGGGATATATGTGTCCAGGTGGCAAAGTGCTCCCACACTCTCCTCACAATCTTACTCTCTAGAAAAAGGTGGGTAAAGGTCTCGGTCTCATGGTGTCCAGTCTTAGAACAACACACACACCGGGAGGGGAAGGAGAAACCCCTCGCGTGTAAAACAATGTCCACGGGTATCCAGCGCAAGAGGAGGTGCCAAAGGAAAACCGAAATGGTAGAGGTGAAAAGATCGCTCCAGATGGCTCCGAAGAGAAGATTAGGCCGATCTCTCGACCTGATTTGCTCCCAAGCCGAGGTAGTAGAAAACACACCCGATGATGTAAGTCTCCACCTCATGCCATCCGAACCGTCCCCCGAGATAGGGATCTGCTGGATCTGATCTAATAAATGCTCGCTAAAACCCGCCCCAAGGCCCAACTCCCTATCAAGCTTCCCCCTATCCCACGACCCGTCTGTCCAAAGGTCGCTCACAAGCAGGAAGGGGAATGCGACACCTGCCTATCCATCGACAACGGCCTATCACCTATCCACCACTCATCCTAGAAACTAACCCACCATCTCCCAAAACCCAAAATATGTGATCCTGGGCGCGTCTACCGACCCTAGTAAGGCGCCGCCACTGTCTGCTATCATGAGCAACAGCCGTTACCCAAAAGGGTGGCTGGCGCGTCTAGAACAGTACTTACCGCGAAGGTACTGGGCCCAAAGCGACTTCCCTTCCCTGAAGCGCCACCACAACTTGTATGAGAAGGCAGTAACAATATCCCTGAGGCGGCGGATGCCAAGGCCACCCTCAGAGAAAGGGCGGCAGATAGAGTCCCAACTCACCCAGTGGGTACGTCTCTCCCTCCCAGAACCGTCCTCGGAACCCCAGAAATAGTGAGCCATGATCTGGTCAATCTCGTCAAGAGTAGACCTAGGGGGGTCGAGGACCATAAGAAGATGAAGCGGAAGGGAGCTAAGGGTACTCTTGATCAGCGCAAGCCAACAACCGAATGAAAGGTGTCTATGCGACCAACCAGAAATCCTGTCGATCATCCGCTGCCTGATGCCCGCAAAGAGCGCTCTCGTGAGATTGCCCTTGTATAAAGAGGCACCAAGGTAGGTAATGGGAAGGTCGTCGCGCGCAAAGCCAGTGATATCCTGGACCCGCTGAGCCCACCTGTCCGTACTGGAGGAGGAGAGGGTGAAGGTGCTCTTCTGCACACTGATCAGCTGGCCAGTAACCGAGCTATAGTGCTCCAGAAGGTACATAAGCTCGATCAGCCCATCATCATCTGCCCGGGTGAAGATGATGATGTCATCCGCATAAGATTGGTGCGAGATGGGAGGACCATAGCCACGAGTGTTGTATGTCATCTGTGGATAGTCGCGGATGAAGCCGTCAAGGCAACGAGAGAGGTAGTCCGCCGCAAGAACAAAAAGGGATGGGGAAAGGGGGTCTCCCTGTCTAAGGCCTCTAGAAGAGGGGAAAAAATCAGAGGGGCTACCATTAACCAAAACCGAGAACGTGCAGTGCTCCACACACGCCTCAACAAAACTGATCCACCGCTCTGGAAATCCCATCCTAGCCAATGCCTCCCTAAGAAACGGCCACTCCACCCTATCATACGCCTTAGCCATGTCTAGCTTCAGCGCAATGTTCGGTGCCCGCTTCCAATCCGCATGGGAGATATCGTGGATCATCTCCTGGGCCAAAAGTACGTTATCACTAATGACCCAATCTTTGACGAAGCCACTCTGGTTCGGAGAGATGAGGGAGGGAAGAATAGGGAAAAGACGGTCGTTAAGGATTTTTGAAATAAGCTTATTGGTCACGTTACACAGGCTTATGGGCCTGTAGTCAGAGAAAGAGCTCGGATTCAGTCTTTGGGGAATCAAGACAACAGAGGTAGCCGTGAAGGAATCCGGCATTC